CTTTAAATGTAACAGAAAAGACTGAGCCATCCAAAACCAAACAACCCAAAAGGATCATTTTCTTGTCTGACTCAAATCTCTGCACTGCGCAAAGCTTATACCTCCTTCTGACTGGTGGTCCCCAGGCATCAAACTTCAGCAATGTCTTTGAGAGATACAATGGTTGATGTTATCAAGAAACTGGTAAGCTGCTGTGGCTGATATACTGTCCACAAAGCAGTCACTTCCACCCAACCTAATGCACCACCCTGTATCAGCTCGCTCACTCCCTTCACAGCTCTTAAAGATGCTCAGTCAGTTTAGGTCATTTTGCCAGAATTGTTTGTTTCAGCTCACTATGTATGGCAGAAGCTCTTCCTCTCCCTCTCTCTCTGATTATATTTTCTCTACCTCCCCCCTTCCTCCAAAAAATATCTGAGCAGAATTTGCTCAGTCCATCTCTTCCCTTCTGTTCCTGCTCCCCGTTCGCAGCACAAAAGCTTTCCTTTGTCAGATTTGTTGGCCTGTGACTGACAAGCAATTACAATAAGTAATTTCATTTCAGTGGAAGATAATAAAACGTGATACCATAACTACCCACAGAGCCTCCAAAGTATTCATGTTCACTCTAATAACCTGGTGAGATGCTGTTAATCTTGACAGAGGCTGCCCAGCAGGTGCTGTGTAGCTGAGTCTTCATATTCTTTCACTGTTTGATGATCCTTCCACAGGGAAAACTCCAAGCTGTTAAAATGCAATGGCCCTGCTCTATTTTTTAATTACATTTAGTTTATTAGAGGCACAATCAGATGCATAACTAGTCCTGGAGCCTGCCCTACCTCACCAAGAGGGAAACAGAGGTCTGACTCATTTAGGCTCTCACCATCTTGGAAGTGTAGAGCAGTTTCTCTCTGGGAGACAGAGGCATTGAAGGAAACATGCAGCGGAGGGGAAATTCTCTTGTTTTCAAAAGCACATGATTTTTAACAGATATTTCCCTCCCCTGCCCAGGGACAAACTGCCTTTGTTTTCAGATATTCCTCCTGAAGCCAAGATGTGCCAAGGAAAGTTTGTTGCCTATTTGCCATTTGAAATTCAGTCTGCCTGTCCCCTCAGGACCAGAGTACAAATGAGCTGTTTAAGGGTGAGGGGAGAGATACATGTGGTGCCAAAGAATTACAGGCCTTCCCTTTAGACTGCAATTGCAGAATAACCCTTTACCATCTTTGCAGAAACAACATTAACTTCCCTTGAAACTCCTGGGTGCACAAGAGGAAGAGTAGGGAGAAAGGACATGACAGGAAAGCAAAATTTGCACCAGAAGCACATCCATGTCCCAACAGTAAAATGGTATGTTTCTCAGGACATACATCAACTTGGTGTACATTCAACCTGTGGCCTCCTGCTCCTGAGCAATCCCACCCACAAGGGCAAAGACAAAACCATCCCCTCAGCCCTCATCCTGCCACTGCTGCACAGGGGATGATTGAACATATAGGACCTGCTGAGTCCAGAGAGGAGCTCATAACTGGGGCATGGCAATCCGAACTGTGCCCCTCACACAGATGAGCCTGAGCCCCCTGATCTGTGCAGAGAAGGCAGAAGAAAGAGAGGGAGCAGGGTCCAGTCAGACAGGTTTCCACAGCATGGTGGTACTTTTTGTGACAACCCTGTTTTCAAAATTTCTGTAACCACAAACACACAATAATGGAGGTGAGAGGGCAGAGACCTCTCTTGGAGAGGGCTAGTTCAGGAACTGAAGTGTGAGGATGCTCCTTTTCAAGAGATAAAGCCAGAGGAGCTGCTCCCAGCCAAGGGCAAAAGAATTAAAATACTGCTGCTAAAATTTCCATGTCCACTTGAGAAGCCAGAGTCTCACTACAAGATAAATTGGAGGGCCAAGATGTTCCTCATTAAAAACCGCCTGGCTGCTTTTCAATAGCGTCTCATTCATGTTAAATCCACAACTGTAATTAAACTGTTTTCCAAGCTCTTGAGAAGTAACTGAAAAGCTTAGAAATGCTCTGAGGAAATGACAAAAATAACTATGATGACTGCCTCCCTCTTGCAAAGATAATATGCAAAACTCCATCCACCAGCAGGTGGGTTCCAGGCTAAGACTTGTGATACGAGCTCCTCAGAGAGGAAGTTCTACATGGGTCAGATCTCACTCTGTTCCAAACCAAGAGGTGGGAAAGGCATGAGCATCATTTCAGTCTTCTATTCTTCAACCAATACACATCCAGATCCCATTGAATTTCAAGGAAACTCAGTATTCATGGTGGTGAACAGCTCTCTGAAACACACTGTGTGTTTGTCTCAGAGAGTTAATTCCTCTACCTTCCTGTCATTTCTTTACAGCAAACGATGCCTTAGAAGAGAGGAGTAACATACATGTTCAAGATAGCTGAGCTGTTTTTCTCCAAACATAGTTCAAATCAAAACTACAAGATGTTCCCGGTATTGTCTGGAAATCTATTTATGTTACATCCTTAAATATACTTCCCTTTATTCCAGAGGGTCTTCCTGAGTTTTCACAGTCAAAATGGAAAAAAAAAAGAAATTCTGTATTTCCTTAATATTGAGAACACGGGAAATAAATAACCTTGGGCATTCTGTCCTCCAAGAAGAGAGGTGGTGTAAGAGCAAGCTCAGTGCAGCTGACTTACCTGGGTCCAAACCGACTAGAGAGCCTCTTGCATAAAATAAAAAGGTCAAGAGTATAAAGATGTGATCCCGATGGGGAAGAGAGCCAAGAAAACAGTTCGCTATTTATATAGCTGATTAAATAAAATATAATGAGGGCTAGCTTGGCCCCTTTCCCAGAGTTCATAAACCCACACAAGGAATCTCCTCTGGGAGCAGTGCAGCCTGACACGTGCCTTATTTAAATCAGGCCATTTAAACAGCTGACATTTTTAGTGTCAGCTTCTGTTTGTTCATACCCCCCCCCAGCTCTCTCTGAATTAACCTTTCCTGCTGCTGCCTGCCCACTTGCTTCATGTCTTCCCCACCTTTAGACTTAGCAGGAATCAAATTAGATAAACCAGAACTACAACAGAATGAGAAGTTCCAGGAAAGCCTTTTCTGTGATTTGTTTCCCAGGTCTTGCTTGCAGAGCAGCAGCCTGCCTCACATGGTCTAGAAAGGTTGGGAGAGCCTAGTTCCCTGGAGTTTGGAAATCCCAAACTGCAGAAGACAAAGCTGTTTTAAGGGAAGCATTGCACAGAGCTAATCCAGGTAGGTATTTTCCCTGTTCTCATCAAGCTCTCCAGTATGCCAAAGACTCATTTTGCACAACTCCAGCAGGCTGATGTGCTCTCTGCTAGAGTGCTACCAAAAACCATTGCTCTGCTAAGACTGAGAAACAGATTTTTAGCTGCAAATGGAATCACTTAGGCAAAAGCCCACCCTAACCCATTTCACACCTTTCAGACAGGTGGCTTATATTATATTAGTGCATTCCTCAGGTGGACTTGCCTTCCCATGTCAAAATCAGCCATGTGGACACATGGTCCATGTGGTGTGGAGCACAGGGAATGCCTCATTTAGAAAAAAAAAATCACATCAGAAAAGAACCTGCAGACACATAATCACAAATGCCAAGAGGAAAAAGTAGGTGAAGAGTGGGATGGAGAAGCTGTAACTGTATTTCTCCCTGCTTAAAAAGACTCACTAATGTCTGATTCAAAAACTTGAAGTCAACGAGAGTCTTTGCACTGTCTACAGGAAGCTTTGAATCAGAATTTCTTTTGGGAAGAAGGGGGAGAATTGCAGCGATCAAGAGCTTTCTCTGAAGTGAAATAATGACTTGAACACAAGAGCTAGAGGTAATGAAAGGACAAATTGTGATGCACTGCTCAGGGAGACATACACATGTACCCTGTGCAATGTGCTGTGAAGGAGGCACCTTCCTTCCAGGTTGTTTGGGTGTTTTTGCTTTATTCTGATTCCTTTTCAAAAGTTCATTTGCAGGAGAGTAAAATAAATTCTGAAAACGACCTGTCAGCTGTGTATGTGCAAAAGTTGTCCATCCAATAAGTACAAAAGTTAGTCAAACATCACCTCCTAGTTATTTATAATGTTGTAAATATTGACTAAAATATGTATATTCACACTGATTTTAGTCTGAATTGATGCTCCACATATTCTGCACACATGTCTGCTTTACCCTCTTCAGAGGAACACAATGTCAATCACTTTGAGAGGAATGGAGTGAGCACAGTCCTAAACAAACAGACCAATTCTAACAGTGTCAAATGAGGCTGATGGAGAGGAGTTTGTGAGTTTTGTATCAGAGACCCTGGGAAATGTCTCAAGAGTCTTTATTACCCCCATTACAGCAGCACAGATGGATCTGTGAGATGGAAGGCCATGAACAAAATGCACATAAATATTGTGGAGCTGCCCGAGGTCATGGAATAACTCACAGCAGTCCTACCAAACCTGCCAGGTTTGCCATATATTTCTCCATCCCTCCTGTATGAAATTCCTTTGAATTGTATCTACTGAACGTCAGGACCAGAATGCCTACATGAAAACTGACCCTCCTGGCTGGTAGTTTTGCATTCACTTAGTCTTCCTTTCAGACAATTATGGCCCCAAATTGGAAAGATCAGAAGAAACTGCTTGAAGATTTCAGTCCATTAGTTTAAAGGTAAAGGGTAAGATCAATGGAAACTCCCTTTCAGTGTTTAACTAGGGGGCCTCATGATCTGTGAGCAGGCAACATCATTTGCCAATATTATCTGCCACTCCATCCTTCTGCAATAAAAAGGTGGACTTCATCCTTCAATGCCAAGAGCATGGAGAATAGCAGGACTGCCTCTCATTTACAGCCTTTTAGCTGCCTGCCCTACTTCTCACCTCACAAAATTCTCTTCTACTACTGACCCAGCAAAGCCTGCCCTGAGCACTGTATAGTTATAATGCTGATCTCACGAGTCTCAGCACTCAGGGCTGCTGGAAGAAGCCTGTGGGATTCAGAAGGAAATTCTGCTCAGAAAAACAGATGGACTCACCTCTGCTTGAGGGCATGGAAGGCACATCTTCATGTCTGAGTAGCTCAACACACCATGCTGTGATATAAATCCTCTTGCTCACCACCACCCAGGATCAGAAACTCCAGACATGAGCACCTGGCAGAAAAGGAATTAAGTAGTGCATAGAAGCTAATTGATCAACTATTTAAAAAGCTTAAACTCTTTAAAGGGATAAAAACACATGTACTTTCATTGATATCCTGTTGGTGTTACTGTTTCGTACTGCAACACTCCAAGTCTGCATGGGCCCAGAGACACGTTTTTGCTACCCCAATGTCTGGCAAAATCAGGTTTGGCAAAGTCATGCTGAAGTCTCTGATTTTTTTCCACCTTGCTGAATGAGAGAACTCATGGGTTAAGAGGAAATCCCCCAGTTGTCCAAATACAAAAAAGGCCCAGACCACAGCAGTGTAAAAAGAACAAAACAACAACCACCCACCTTGTCCCAGACTTTAGCCACCAGCCAGCCTGTTTTCTGATGTATGAAGAGGTTCTTTTGAATGACCAGCTGAGCCAGATATGAAATAATGACCACAAGGCTATTTTTCTGCTAATTGCCTTACTCATTTACACTCCTTCTCCTTAGCATTTCTTCCTCTTGGTTATTCTGATATGTTTTTCAAATGTGTCATAATAAGCAACATTTTCTCTACGATAACCTCCCCTATGCTCCTACTTTTTTTTTTCTGTCTTCTCTGCCCTGTTATACTTTATAAGGGAAGGATTTTCCTGAAACCATTATCCAGAGCTAATAATCTAGAGACTTGAATGTTTTTAAGACACTTACCTCCTCCAGGGTTGCGGGAGATTCTCATATTACTGAGGGACAGGGGTTATCCTGAACACAAACAAAAGAAAATAGTCTATTCAAGACCATGCTGATTTTCCTCAATTTCCATGCTCCCCTTTTCCAGTATGTTTTGTTTCTCCTGGCACCCTGTGGCACTGGAAGGAGGGAAGCTGGTATGAGAGGTATGAAAGAATCAAACGGTATTACCCACCTCAAATTCAAGCGAAACCTTTGCCAGGCTTTCACTCTCACTGCAGGGCAGTTACAGCTCTGAAACTTGCCCATTTCAGAAAGGACTGGCAGGTTACAAACCCACTCAAAACATTTGACATCAGTCTGAGCCACTTTCCAATGTCTGACAGAGAAAGAAATCAAGACACATTGCTTTCACCTTCCCTCCTTGAGATGGAGGTAATGCCATCTCTGTCTCTCTCCCCACCCCAAGAAATTATAACATTTCCAAACCCAGGCAATGACAGACTATAAATGTAGATTCAGCACCTTTTGGGATGTATCTTGGCTTACACATCAGCATAATGGTATTCCTCCTCTCAGGAAAAGATTCTGATAGCCCAGATCAATCTATTCACAAAGGTGAAGAGAACTTCCTTTTAAGCCCTTTAACAAAATTATCTCAGTCATCAGAAGATCAGCAGCAGAAATTGGTTTGCGACTTGCAAATTTGCAGAGTCTGCTTTTTTTTTGGCATGTGTGGTTTGCTTTAAACCTCACTTATATAATGCTTATTTATCACAGCCACATGAGCTAATTCATGTATATGTATTTAGTATAAAAGATTTGAATTAATGTTCCCAGCTTGTTTACTTTGAAGGACTGAATGCCCCCTCAGGAAGACATACTGATCTTAAAGGAGGCTCTTCTCTGATGAACACTGGTTCCTGCAATATTTATGGCATCTGAAGCCTTTTCTCTACTCTTGATCTTTTGAAAAGAGATCCCAAAGGAGGGTGACAGAGCTTGGCGAGTGGAGGAGGGAGAAGTACAAGAGGGGTCCCTTTGCTCTCAGTGCAACGTCAAAATGTAAACAGGAAGGTGATCAAGGACTACAGTAGTTTCTAAATATATATTAATGAATATAAGAAGAAAAAAGCCCATTGAGCCAACTTTACAAAGAGTGCTAGGAAGGAAAAAAAAATCTGCACCTTTGCTCAGTTTTGAAGCTCAATTCTGCTAATTTAGGGCATATCAGCTGTGATTTTGAGGCCAGCCAAAAGAACTGATGTAAATGGAAACATCAGAAAGCAGCCCCTTCACAGTCTAGCACTTGCCATCATTTTAATTACTCCACATGGCCAGATTTATTATTAAAAATAAAATATTAAATACTTTTCTGGTTTCTTCAGAACTGAGATTGCACTGAGACACTGAGGAGTGCACACTCGACATCCATGTGATCTTCTCCCTCCTCCTCTACCCTGAAGGGAAATTGTTGTTCCTGGTTTGGGTTTTGTTTTTTTTTTCATGGCATAGTAAGGAACAGAAAAGGCAAAACACAAGCTAAAGGGTCCAAGGACTAAACCCAGCACTCCAAAGTCTGAGTCAAAATAGGTCACTGATACATTACTTTGTCCATACGCATTTATTCTCTATAGCATTCTGCTTCCCCACCATAAACTGAGGTAATTTCTTCTCCTTTCTATCCCTGGGCTAGTTGTAAATCACCAGGAGCAGGACTCTGGGCTCCACAAGGAGCAAAGGCCGAGGCAGAATGCAAACAGTTTTGCTGCTGGTGTGATCCCCACTGCCTGGGGAACATGCCTCCATGCTTTTAACTTGCTTTATCCCATGCTGTATGCAGTAGGGCTTGCCCACCTCACATCTACAAGTTATCTAGGAATACACCTATGTAACAATATATGCTGAGGGCTTATGCTGCACTGTCACCAGCCTTTCCCTTCACATTCTGTCCCACATGGGAAGTGGGAGTACAGTTAATGAGTAGGAAAACATCTGTTTCTCCCATTTTGAAAGGATGTGCTACGATATTCTGCAAAACAGGTCATAAGCAGAGTCATTTGCACCACTCTGTTGAATGGAGGTGTGTGAAGCTGCCAGCTTTGAGCTATGCCTGCCTCCTCCCCTCCCTTAATTTAGAATTTATTTTGTTAGGAAAACCCTTGCTAACCTCAGAAGCCAAGGTTGAGCCATGGCTGGGAAAAGATGAGACGGGGAGCCAGAGTTACATTGTAAAAGACACAGGTTTCAATCAGAGGGCTTTGTTGCACCTGGTTGAAAAAGAATTTGATGGTAGATTTCAACAAAATGAATTATTCGTAGGTGTACTCTGATGGAAAAAGAAAATATTCAGGAAAAAAAATATTTAAAAAAGGATTTAAAAAGCATTAGGTTCAAAACATGTCTGGGAAGTTTGATTCCTCAAAAGTGACTTGCATCTGACTCTTCCTTGCGGGAACAGAGGATGCACGCAAATAGGATATCCAAAGAGGACAGTAAGGGGATGACAGAGGTTTTGAAGATCAAGTGTGGAATAAAGATGATGATGGCCCCTTTCCCAACCAACACCAAGGAGATATACCTGCCTGCTACATTAGGGTGAGCTACCCAAAACAAAATTCTCCCAATAAACTTACCCAGTGGAATGAATTGACTCAAGGTATTTTAGTGGCCAATGGCAAAAACTTTCTAAGAAGCTGTTAGAAAACCCATTAGACCCATTCGTGTGTGACTGCAACTTGTATGCACTCGTAGCAACACATATCCTCAGAGCTCCCAGTCGTCTCAAGCATCCTGTGCTTACCTGCAGCTCTGCATTTCTACAGCTCCCCCCACCAACACCCACCAAGGGGGCTGTAACACCCATGTCCAAATCCTCTACCTGAAAAGACCCTCTCAGCTGGGCAAAACAGTCCAGGTCTCTGTGGCTGAAGATCAAGGAGGGGGTGGGAAAAAACAGAAGTTGTAGGGGCAAAGCCTGATGCCTGTCCAATTCAGTACCAGCACTCTCCCTGATTTTGACAGAGCTGGGATTGCTGCATTCATTTTGTTTCGATGTCAAGATGAGGAGGAGTGTTGAGATGTGCTGTCAAGGTTTCTACTTGAAGAATTAAAATAGCCCGTTTCAGGTTAGCTTTTGTTTAGTTACCTGTTGCTTCTTGTCAGCAAAGGACCTCTCTGGGCTGGTACAAAGCACTTCCCTGGCTTAGTCACATGGAAGACAGATATCAGAGCACTTCTCTCATCAAAATATTTGCTTTAAGGGGAGATCAGAAAACTGAAACACGGCAGACATTCAACAGGAGAGATGGGAAAAGTAGTGTTTACCAAGTACTTCAACACTGGAGAGATAAACGGATATTTGAGCTCATTTCACTACGTACTGTTATTAGTTATATGAAATTAGACTGTCAAACACAGTTTTATAAAATGCAAGGTGAATGCAAGAGGGCAAGAAGGAGAATGAACACACAGGGGACAAATCACTGTCACTCACAAAGGAGTGCCTGGCAGACTAAGAATTAAGTTCACTCCTCAGGGCAAGCCGTCCCCAGCTGTTATAAATACATTTTAATGCCCCTGTCAACGCATGGCAAGAAAGAGCCAGCGTTCCCCAACACAGTGTGTCAGGTGTTCTCTGTCATTCAGAGAGCTTGAAAGAGCCACATTTAGATTGCAGTTTTGTCACTTCTCCCTCTGGCAGTGCAAAGGCAGCTTCTCTGCTGGTTGAATGGAGCAGGAAGTGATTCTGGAGCACAGCCAGGCTGCTGCCTGCTCCACCCCTCAGGAAGCAGTGATAGCTGGTCACTGGGGTTGGTGCTCGCTGCTGCCACGCTCACCTTTGTATCATTCCTGCAAACAGGGAGTTTGTTGGACTCCGTCAATCCCCCTCTAGGTTGTATCGCAAAATTGTCAATTAACAGGCTGCTTGGCTTTTCTTCAGGGGACTGACGGGGCAGGAGGACTTCGGCCACATTTGGGTGTCAGGGGAGAGCAGCCCCTCCCCTCTGGCTGACAGGAGACCTTGCTCAACCTCACACTGGGAGGTCTTGCTTTCTGGTAGAGCCATCTCTGAGGGGTGAGGTGAGATCAGACCTCAAGTCCAGAGCAGAAAGCAACAATGGTCCCAGTCCCCACAGTATGGAATTACCTCCCTTTTCCCATTAGTCCAGGTCCTTCTGCCTTCCCTAAGCCGTAGCTTTGCTACAAACAACTTTGGAAGCACTGTGGGCTTGACTGGAGCCAGTTTTCTGCTAAAGCTACTGCTTTATCTTTCGTTTCTGAAGAGCCCTGCAGCACTTTCTTCAGAAACAAATGCCAAGAGGAACTTTTCCCCTTGCTGTCAGACAGCTGACAGCCCTAAACACCATCTCCAGTAAAATCAGAACCATTGCTGGGGCTCCTGCCAGGCTCCCAAATCGTCTCCATTTGAAATGAGCAGCTCTCAGATACAGTTCCATCAACCCAAGAGGACTGCAACCACATTCCACCTTGTAAATGCACTTTTGGCTTTCTGCTGCCTTTCAATTCCCTCTGAAACACAAGTTTGGTCCCAGCTACCGTGATCTCTGAGCAGGTGGGGAATATGTGGTATTTAGCACACAGGAAACCAAGCAGATATAGCCACGAATAACCAACACAAAGGGGAGACTCCAAAAGAGGATCTCATTTCAAATGAAAGCATTCTAATGAGACAAATGGGCTACTGCGAGGCAGTTTGCAGCCACTGCCCACCAAAAGAGCCAAGCTTACAGGACAAGACAGGTTTTGTGCTTTCCCTTTGGGCTCAAGTCAATAGTTTGCTCTCTTTCTGGCATCAGGCCAGCGGAGGACACTGCACACCCCACCCTGTATCCCCCAGTTGTACCAGTGCAACAGTTTGCAAACTTTGCTTTAGCCAGAACATTAAAACAAAACCACAAAATCACCAAGCCTTTGAAAGTCACCAAAACCCTTCTCCACCACAGTGGCTGGAGAGCACAGTCCCACAACTACTCAGATGACAACAAGCAGGAGGTGGCAAACACCATTTTTATTGCAAGACAGAGCTAGCATCAGGACGTGGCACAGTCTCAGAGTGACATGCCCATTCCCCGGCAGATGTTGCCAAGGTCCCACTATGTCCCTGCTGAGGATAATAGAAGTGTGCTTGCTACTCTTGCGTTGCTATTCCTGTTGT